CTCATAGCACAGACCACATGCTGGAAAGACCAGGCTGGAAAGAACAAGAGAACCAGAGCGCAGGCTAAAAAAACCAACAAAAATAGGAGAGAGAAAGAGATCGAGAGAGAGAGAGAGAGAAAGAGAGAGAGAGAGAGAGAGAGAGCAGAGCTGAGATAAAAAACTGAGAAACCATGCGAGAGATCGACTTGAGGAAGACGGTGGAGCAACCCAGAGAGCTTGGAATCCAGATGAGGAGCTTTAGATCCATAGGACGATGAAGAATATTAGAGGTTCGAGCGGATTTCAGAGAAATTTTCAGAGGTTTCAGAGTGGGCTTTAGAGGCATTTCTCAGAGTCCAGTTGATTTCAGATGGAAAGCTGTGAATCTTCAAAGTGGTAGAAAAGCTGTTTTCAAAGCGATAGATGATTGTTTTTCATTAGGGCAGAATGGCCGTTTCTCAGAGTTGGATTTAAGAGATAGAAGGTTTCAAATCGGGTTTCAGATATTTTAGGTTCATGTGGTTTCCCAACAAGTTCAAGGATGTTTTTGGTGGGTTCAAGGACCTTTTAGAGAGTCTGTAGCATATCTAATGAGCTTAGAGCATTATCATGCAAGCTCAGATAGTTTTCTAGTGAAGTCAGGTACTGTTTTGTTTCCAGCTAACTGGGTCAGATTTTAGATGGATTTGGACCGTGGGATCAAGATCCTTAGGCGAGACCCCCAGAAAGAAAAACTAGTAGAGAAAAGGATGAGGTGAGAAATAAAACATATATTAGAAAAAATAAAATGCACACCAGATTGATAGATAAACAAACTGATTCAAAAGAATTTAATCCTTATAATGAATTGTGAACCAAACGGTGCCCCACTAGGAACTAGAAGATTGGTAGGTGAATCCACCATCTCTTTAAACCAGATGACTTTCCTTTTAGCCAACCTCTCAAAGAATAGGTGGCCACCCTAGAGTTCAGAGAGAAGAAAAGGTTGCAGGTGTGACCAAGGGTAGATAAAGCAAGGAGAAAATGGGAAGAAATAATTAAAATAAAAATACTAATAAAGGGTGAGAGAATATACTCTCTCTAGGTCTGCAAGGGAGTCCACGTCAAAAGATCGTTTCACAAGATCAACTTTTTACTCTTTTGTGTCTCTTTTCTGGTTACAATGAAGATATATCTCCTCTTTAAATGTACTTACAAGATATAAATTAATTAATTAATTAATAAATAAACCCTAAAAAAAATCTCTCTCTAAAAAGTCATGCACCATTTTCATTCTCCCTTCTCTCTCTAATTCCCATATAAATCTCTATCTCCTTCTATCTCTCTAACTCTCATGTTATCTTCTCTTTCTAAAAGATGAGAAAAGATAATTTTTACTTATCTTAAAAGATAAGCTATTTTCTAAACCAAAAGATAGGTCTTCTTGGATGACAACTCATGCCCTTACTAAATTATCCCTGCGCAATTCGTATTCCTAAAATTTTAAAAGATTTAAAATAAACAATTAAATGACCTCACTTTTTATTTACATTATTCTCCCGGGGTTGGGAGAAGTTCAACCTTGAGCTTATGGAACACAAAAATTTTCGTTCATCATCTTCAATTTGTTCCAATTGAAAATTTGCACCCTTGTCTTGTCGAACTTTTGATTGTTGATCATAATGGAACAAAGTCGTGATATGTTTAACCTATCAATTGTGATGCCGAAGTCTATTGCACCTTCTACCACTTGTATTTCATGAGTCTTAATCAACTCAACTTTCGAAGCAAGTTGTGATGTGTGATTAATGCTTGGATTCGTAGTTGATTCTTGATCTTCTAGCTCGTCATGTTCTTCTTCCTCTGATTGCAATTTATGAAGTAGATCTCGTAGACATTTTATAAGATGTGGATCTCGTCAGTAAATTTATTCTTGACATTCTGGATCAGTACCCTAGGTTTGTCGAGGAGCTCGGTTCGTCTCTACAGTGAGATTTGGTGCCAAGTCCACGTGGTTGTGAGCACCCTCTTTCTCGATGAATGATGTCCTCCATTTGTTGTAACCATTGATTCCTTTCACGAAATTCGATTCAAACATCTTCCATAAATTTGGTCAAATTTTTTTAAACTTGTCCCAGTCGATCATCCATAAGAGTATTAACTTTTGGTGGCATGGCAATAACTAGATCTTACTTGCTTTGATACTAACTAATGCAAGGGGAAATGCGAAGAAATAATTTAAATAAAAATAATAATAAACGGTTGGAGAATATACCCTCTCTCTAGGTCTACAAGGGAGTCCATCCAAAAATATCATTTCACAAAATCAACTCTTTACTCAATTCTAATCTCCCTCTGGGTTACAATGAAGGGACATCGCTCATTTAAATATACTTACAATAAATAAATAAATGAACCAAAAAAAAAAATCTCTCTTTAAAAGTTATGCACCACTTTTCATTTCACTTATCGCTCTCTATCTCCCACATAAATCTCTATTTCTATCTATCTTACTCTCATGTTATCTCTTTCTAAAAGATAATAAAAGATAATTTCTACTTATCTTAAAAGATAAACTATTTCCTAAACCAAAAAATAAGGCTTCCTTGGTGACAACTCATGCTCCTACTAAAACTCACACCCTACTAAAAGTCATGCCTCTATTAACTTATTCCAGCAGAATTCCTATTCCTAATTTTTTTAAAAATATATATATAAAAAGAAATAAACAATCTCTTTTTTCATTTACATCAGCAACAATAAGGGATATGTGATTCGGAGTAGAAGTTGAGGTTAGATTGGGACATGATCAAGTAATAACAGTTTAAGAAAATCGATCATATAGGTATGGACATGATGAAGATGAATCTGACTCTGATACTTTAATAAGAGTCTTATGTTTTTATTAATAGACTCTCAATGTCCATTAATTTATATGAATATACATGATTTTCTATATAGATAAATGCGTATTGATTATAATATACACCATCCATATTAACCCGGTATATTATCATACACTTTCCTTCACACAAAAGAAATGATCCAATTGATGATTTAGGAATATAAGACCTCTTTAGCCTTGGCTGAATTCACTAGATTTGTTTTTTCCTTCGTTTCTCATTAGGTTGGCTACTTTTCAATGTTGGCATTATTGCTTGTTTCCTTGCCATAAGAAGTCAATCACTTTTATCATCATCACCAGAGCCTTTTCCCCACTATTTGGGGTAGGCTATATGAGTCTTGATCCATCATTCTGCTTTATCAAGGGCTATACCCTCAGTGAAGCCATATATCGTTATATCGTTTCTCATTACTTCCAACCATGTCCTTTTGGGCCTACCCGTTTCCCTTTTTGGCCCTTCCAATTGAGCTGACTTACACTCCCTATAGTTGCTATACTCACTAGTGTTCCGTTAGTATAGTCACCCGACTATCAAATATATAAATTTTCTATACTCAATAGCATTCCATGCAACATTGAAGGACATTAGACTATAAGACCATTTATCTTTCTTACAAGGAGGTCACAATTGCTACTACCATTAGAGGTGAGAATTTCTTTTTGAACTTTGAATGATATATTCTTAGCCACCAAATTTAAAATCTGTCTGACAAGAACAATTGTGACCTTGTATTAAAAGTAAATATTATACTTTTCTTGGGAATGGGCTATTGAAAATAGGGGACTGCATCCGATGAATTGGAACACTTGATGCCTGAAACAAGAGTAGGGGGGACTGGGTCTTCGTTATGTTGTGGATTTTAATTTGGCAGGTATGATGAAATTAGCATGGACAATCATCTCCAACCCATCTGCACTCCTAGCTAAAATTTTCAAACATAGGTATTTCCGCAAAACCGTAGTTTGGCATTTTGGGTCTAGAATTTGTTCACAGGCATGGAGAGGTATAGTTTTGGGCATTAACAGGCTGCAACACAATGTCATGTAAGTGGTTGGTAATGGAAGGCAAATTGAGTTCTGGAATAACCCATGGTTATCAAAACAATCATTGTTGGAGGTCTTTGGTATTGACACTATTTTGGGTACTGGTTCCTCGTGCATAGTTAAAGTCACAGATTTCCTAGAAGGTGCATATATTAGTTGGAATATTCCTTCATCTTTTGCTAGTCCTCTCTCTCAAGAGGTTTTTTCTCATGTTCTGCCAATTCGTCCACTTCATGATTAGCTTGTTTGGATTCATGCGGTGGGTGGTCTTTTCTCGGTTAGGAGAGCTTGAGAGTATGTTAGAAGGGAGGAGCCTGTAAAAAATTTGTTCAAAGTCCTATGGTCATCACCATCTCTCCCTAGGGTGAAATGGTTTACTTGGTTAGCATTATATTCCAAGTGGCCAACCTTGTCGGTATTTCAGTCGAGAGAACTAGCGTTGGCCTCCATTTTCCCCTGGTGCTTATAGGAGGGGGAGCTCTCAGACCATATCATTGTACAATGCTTGTATTCAAAACTTATTTGGAGATCTATTATGAGTAGATTTGGGAAGTGTTTCTCCCTTAAGCAGATCATAATGACCCTAATGGCCAAATGGTAATAAGCTTTGATTCCGATCTATACGTATGGAATTTGTTTGGAATTGTATGTTTTCTATTACTATCTAGAACTAGTGGATGGAGCACAATTCTCGGGTCCATGGTGGAGGAAATACGCCTCGTGAGTCTCTTAAGGCGCATTTTACATTGGGTTAGATCATTGGCTAAAATTAAAAATGGGGCCTTCCATTCTTCTGAATTCAATATTGCATATAATTTTAACCTTCATTGGAATGTGGTAACCCCCCCCCCCCCTTCCTAAGTTCATATTCAGATGGTGTGGCTGCCTCCTCCTTTAGGTTTTTTCAAACTTAACATTGATGGGGCTTCTAGGCAGAATCTGGGTAGTGCTGGTTGTGGGGGTATTATTTGGAATGATGCAGGTGGATTCATTGCAGCCTTTGCGATTTCACTGGGTATCAATTCTAATAACACAACTGAATTCTATGCACTTGAGAGGGGTATTTCATTGGCGATGGAGTTGAACTGTGTATCCATTGTTATTGAAAGCGACTCTAAGCTTCTTGTTGATTTTGTGAGTCATCGTTACAGGCCTTGTTGGAGATTGCACTTAATTTTGTCTAATTGTATATCTAAGCTTACATCTTTCATTGGTCAGCAATAGAAGGTCCAACATGCTTATAGGGAAGCCCATATGGTTGCGGATTCTTTGGCCAAAGCAGTGGTTTGTATAAATGAAGCGACGGCGTGGCGTGCTCGGCCCCTGATTTTGGAATGCCTTACATTCTATCTGATGTTGCACGTGTTCCTTTACCAAGGGCTATTTAAGAACTGTTAATACAATATTTATTGTGATTCTTTAATAAAACGGGCAGGGACCCCCCACTGATTCACCCAAAAAAAAATATTATACTTTTTGAACATTTAATGTCATTTTCTAACATTGGAACTTAGCTTTAAGTGACAAACTCATTGTTTGTTTTCGAGGGTAATGAAAATTAGAAAGAACGGAGACTAGAGGGGTAGACCAACACAAGGAAAAATTCCTATATAAGTATATCATTAATGAACTTACTATCAACACTAAGACATGTCCATTGAAACTTGATGGCCACCCCCAATCTTTCCCAATACAATATTATTTCCATAAAATTGAACTTCATCAACTACTCAACTAAAATAACTTCACTTGCACTTTGAAGTAAGATGACTCTTAATCTGGACAGTCCCAAAAGTCTTGGGGTGTTTTGATCATTAGTTGGCGAGAGGAACTATCCTAACCCATGAATAGGAGAGTGAACCAAATATTTTTGCCCTTGAATATATGGACGAGGGAATAATTATATTTGGTAATAAATGCACCATCCAAACTAGGCATGGGAGTTCACTGCTTTTAATGTACTTTTCAACTTTTAGGTCATCCATCTATAATAAGGAAGAAGAAATAAAACTGATTTTTTAATTTTACACCATTTTAATTTTTTCCCTCAAAATTTCGGAAATTATCTCCTTCTCGTTTCGTCCCCCTTAACACTCTAACTTGAATGCTTTTGTTTTGAAAATCCCTTTCATTTCTTAGATAAATCCAATGATGAAGTTGTCCAAAAAAACAAAAAAATCTCCTAAAATCTCTTCGTTTATGGTAATATTAATTCAAGAAAAATATTATTAAGAATCAATAGGGGCTTAAAAAGTTAATTAATATCTAGGTGGGCTTTTTTTTGCTGATTTTGTATGTCAAAATAGGAACTATGGAAAAAACGAATTTCTATCATCGTATTTGGCTCAATGTTATTAGATATGCTTCCCATTCGGCCAAGATCCAAATGAAGCAAAGCCGTAGTGCATCCGCTTCAGCCTTCTTCGGGCCGCTTCGGCATGCTTTGGGTTTTATTTGACCTCTTTAGCGGAAGCATAGAATAGGCTATTTTAATTAGTTTTTATTCTCAAACGTTTATTTTAAAATTTTTATTATTGCATATAAATACTTTATTGACGGTACAATTTTTTTAAAAAATTAAAGTTTTCCTCCGAATTGGCCAAAGCACTGAATTGCTATGTTATTTTACCAAACCAAAAAACGCTTCAAAAGCAAATCAATTTGATTTGGCTCCTTTGAAAAAGAGAAACGCAACAATAACTTAGAAAATGCTGGAAAGAAAATTAAACCGCCAGAAAACTTAACAATGAATGAATGAAAAGTTAAGTAAAGATAAGAAGTATTATCTTTTCAATTAAATTTTTTAGAAATTACCTTACAATCTAATCATTCATCAAGAACAATGTGCAACACATGTCCCATTTACTATTGGTAAAATATGTCAATAGTGCTTATAAAATCTGTACAGACTTCCTCCTCAAAAACAGAAGAAAGGTGGTGCAGACCTGGCTCCTAGAAAAGAGAGATATGAGATCAAGTTCACAACAATACTTGATGATCACACTAGTCCATCAATCAAGAATGAAACTTCCTCAAGTAGAACAAAAGAGAATTCATTTTATTAATCATAAAATATTCCTAAGTAAGAGAGAAATTTTACACTACATTTGCTGGCAAGTCCCTATGCACCAATTCTACACGCATTGACCCTTCAAGAAGCCAACTTCTCATATTCCTAGTCCTCCTAGTCCCCATTCATGTAGCCAATTTCCCATGTATAGAAATTCCACAATATTGATAGTTGGACTCGTGGGAACTCAAATCAACATTGCTATTACATTTTAACTCATTGACTATATGAGAAATTTTGGCCTTCCTATGTTATCCCAGACTTAAAACTATATTAACCCCTTAATAACAAACTACAAAAGGATAACTTTAACAATTAAAACTAATCCAACACATCCATTCTACAAAACTTTAACAATTAAAACTAATCCAACACATCCATTCTACAAAACTTTAACAATTAAAACTAATCCAACACATCCATTCTACAAATTCAAACCTTAGATGCCATTTTCATCAATAAGATATTTACAAACAATTACCTTTTTGTAGAGGGGATAAATAAATGTTCAAAAAATCGGTAAAATTGAGCTCATCACATCTGATCCCTTCTACTTTTATAAAATTCCCAATAATTGACAGATTTGCAGTACTTGGTGATACCTTTGAATCCCACTTCTAGCACCACGGACAAAGGAAAAAAATATATATATAAGAAAAAAGGAAAATTATCGCTAATATACTTTAATTTTAAGAAAATCATAAAAAAACCCCCCAACTTCTTAAAACTTTGCCCATACCCTTTTCCCCAATTTTTGAGATTTTTTTGGATGAAAATACCCTTTACGGTAGTCTATTTACCATAATACATTTTGAATGTGTTACGGTAGAAAGACTATCATAATAGTATAAAGATACATTACGGTATTTCGAGTACCGTAACGAACATTATGGTACTTTGAGTACCATAATGAACATTACGGTAATTTAAATACCGTAAAGAACATTACGGTACTTTAATTACCGTCATATATGAATATATTCTACATAGTATTCTTAGTCCTGTAATGCTTTGAAAAGCTTTGAACCAAACCTAATATTAGCGCTACCTCTCTCCTCTCTCACTCTGCAAAATCAAGAAAGAAAAACCAAGATGGAGCGTCCTTTTTAGTCCAGAAGAGCCGGATCTCATCAAGAGCCAAATTTTACTAACCCCACTCGCCTTGGAAAGAAAACTCTTTTTTCCTGCCACTTTTTCAAAAGGAAAAAGAAGGACTTTGAGCTCCCCAACTTCATTTTCAGGCAAGCCAAGTGCCCTTCTGATTTCTAGGAGGCAGAGCCCTTGAGCCCTTAGTAGTCTCCTCTAAATATAAGACTCACTTCGAACCAAAGCTCAGTGAAGTATCTAGACAGCTGGAAAGTTATATATCCAAATAGGTCCTCGGCTCAATGTTGAAAAAGGGAAGGGATGTGCCAGTTAATCGCAGTAGGGATTTATCTTCTTTCTCAGTCTTTGAGAAAAAATTCTTAATACCAAGATTATTGATTTTTTGCTTAATTTTTGATAATTTGTTTATTGGAAATTAGGTGTTTTATTAAGGGAAAGGATCCTTCTTCATAATGAAGAGGTGTTTTGTTCATTATATTGGTTGTTGTAGAAGCGGATTTCTACCTACACGAAACTTGTATGCAGTCATAGCTCAAATTATCTTTCATTAAAACCATGGAAAGCCCAAAATTACTTTTTTTTCATTCAACTTCTTATATACATCAGCTACAAACAAGCCTGCGATACATGCGTTAAATGAAAAGGCTCAAATACAAATATATTTGCAGCAGTTTCTTGGGATCAGGGCTTGGAACAATTGCTATGACCCATTCAAGAATGAAAAACTAAACTTCGAGATAAAATTGCCAATGTGTCGTGGCTATCATTCAACCACGAAAACAAATGCAAAGGCCATATTTTCTATCCAACTGCTGCATGCACACACAAGAGAGAGGGGTAGCGCTGACTAAAAAGGAAGCTTCATCTGGGTTTTTTTTATTGATTTCGCAGAGTGCGAGAGGAGAGAGGTAGCGCTGACTAAAAAGGAAGCTCCATCTGGGTCTTTTTTATTGATTTCGTAGAGTGCAGGAGGAGAGAGGTAGCGCTAATATTAGCTTCAGTTCGAATCTTTTCAAAGCATTACAGTACTAATACTAAGAATGCTTTACAAAATATATTCATGTATTACTGTAATTAAAGTACCATAATGTTCTTTACAGTATTTAAATTACCGTAATGTTCATTACGGTACTCGAAGTAACATAATGTATCTTTACACTATTACGGTAGTCTTTCTACCGTAATACATTTTGAATGTATTACGGTAGAAAGACTACTGTAAAGGGTATTTTTATCTAAAAAATCTCAAAAATAAGGAAAAAGGGTGTAGGCGAGGTTTTGGGAAGTTGGGGGTTTTTTTTGTGATTTTTGGTATATTAGCAATAATTTACCTAAAAATGAGCTAGTGAAATTTAGTCACTTGACCACAATTGTGTTCTAATTTAAAGGAACCTTGTGGCGCAATATAAAATTTACTGGCGAATATCACCCGACAAATTAACAGCATTTAAGAGAGAGAAATAAAAATCCAGTAGGTAATCACAAGAATAAAGAACAAAACACTCGGATTCGAGTATTCCGACACGGGCCCATAAGCAAAGGAGAAAAGAAAACACCTCTCTCTCTCTCTCTCTCTCTACACAATCTCAAAGATCACATTTTTTTTTATTCATAAAATTCAATCTCTATTACATGGTCCGTGCCTCCTTTTATACATTTAAAACTCCGTTCTCCTGTTACTCTGAAAAGATAATCTCTAATATATCTGCTTACTAAAAACAAATATGATAATTAGCCAAAATAAATCTATCTCTAGATTCTTTCCATATTCTTCCATCGAACTTTCTAAAAGATAACTACAACTCCCAACTTCATCCTTTCCACCTAAGTGACTCATTTCAACCCAACACAAAAAGATAACACCCTTTTTAACATAGAAAACAAAATATATTTCCTAAAAACTAAAGTTAAACACCTTGTACTCGCAACTAATACAAGAGATAAACTTTCCTATACTAAATAAACAATAACTTCTTATATGCAAAACGTGACCCCCTAGCACAAATCTACCGAGCTCAATCTTAGGAAGCTAAACCACTAAAAGATTTACTAGGACTAAAAATATAACGATTTTAAGAAGCAAACATCTAGATTGACTTGCCAAAATAAAATATGGACACATCCTTAAAATATACAACTTTTATAAAAAAAACCCTACTAATCATATTTCTAAAATTTTATCCTAATAAATAGAAATAGAAATTCTAAAAAATCTCTAAAAATAAAATTAATAAAAATTAAAATTATAATTTGTAGACACCAAATTTTTATGTGTCATTCTCCCATTGTCGGAGAAAACTTGTCTTCGAGTTTTAATATAACTTGTCATCGAGTTTTAAAATGTGATAGAATCAAATTTTCGTCTCATCCTTCTTCAACTCGATCTTCAACTCGAACATTACAAACACAATCCTATGACTTGTGGGTTACTGCTTTGATCAAGGCATAACAATTGTGTATAGAAACTGAAAAACCCTCGAAGAAATGGTCGTTCTATGAAACTGAGAAACCTTTGTGGAAAAGGTCATTGTCTGTCGATTATTCAGCCACATGCACTTTCTAACATTGCTCGAACTTCACCTTGGGGCACATCATTAATACATTGGTTATTTCGTCATACATCTCCATGTGCTCGATTTCCTCTACGATCATGTCAATATTTAATTTTCCTATCGATGAAAGCGGCAGTTTTCCGTAGAGAGAGAGTAGCCCTTCATGGGTGTTGTTTATTCTCTTGAGTTTGTGGTCCATGCCGGAATACTTGTATCCGCACGTTTTTGTTCTTTCTTCTTGTGGTTTTCTTCACGATTTTATTTCTGTCTCTTAAATGAAGTTATTTTTACTTGTGTTTTTTGCCGGTAAATTTTATATTGCATCACTTGTAACCACAAATTCTATTTTTCATTAAGGTATTTGTCGAATAGTTGCGATTGACCTTGTCATTTTAAATGAAGTGCATTCTCCTTGAAGTTTCTTCTTAATCGTCATTTTAGGTCTAAAATCATCAACCATTAGGGACAATAATTTTTCCCCTAAACCGTACATGAAGAGATGGTCGGAATGGCATGATCCCCAAATTTGTTTGCCATTGCAGTATTTCATTGATAACATAAAATCGTGTAATTTTCCTATAAATTGGTGTGATATTCACTAAATGTTCCGTACAGAAGCTCTCTGCAGGTTCTCAAGAAGCGATCTCTTGGGTACGTTGTTTGAATCTTATTAATTTATATGATTTTCAACTTGTTCACAGCTTATCTATCGTTTTTCAGAAACTAATTTGCTATATCCTATTGCTAACTACATGCACAGTTAAGCTGAAGCAAAAGAATGAAGATTTTGTGGATATGTCTCCAGGCCTTTCAGTTAAGCTCAGTACTTTCGACGACTAATGCCAATGGAAAATGGCTGGAGGAAAACCCCCTAGAGAAGAATCACAAACAACATGAGACCTGCAATGCTGTCAATGATGCAAGAGGAAGACAACAATGCTGTCAATGATGCAAGAGGAAGACAACTACTTGATAGCAAATCTGTCGAACAGGCAAGTAAAGTACAAGAAAAATCAGCCTTCAATCTTCCAAATGATCAAGGAAATAGCAATGAAAGTAACCAACCTAACTATATTAGTGGAGCTGCCGTTGACGAAGGCAATGACAATGGAGACACAGTGGAAAATGATCCATACAATCATTATCGTGGTTCGACCATCGATAATCATCACCAAGTTACTATTGATGATTTTCGAAGAATGAACCCTGACCTAAGGTCCCATCCCTAGGACAACAAAGCTAAAGCACAGAACTTAAAATTTGTGCAAACATATAAATTCCGTAGCCTTCTCCATGGATCATATGTGTGTTTTAATACATATTTTCTCATGTGAGTGAGTTGGCAGTGAACTAGGTTTGAACAAAAGCATGCCCAAGTGCAAGAAAGCCTTTCCTTTGGAAGTAGTCTGCTTTTTTAGCATTTTTGTCCCGAGCAATAATGGAATTTGGGCATTCGCTTCCAATAAAGTATGTAATGTACATGTAAGGTGTGCGAGATGGTTCGACGTTTTAGGGTGAAATTTATTTATTTTCTTCTCCTTTGGATATCTACGAGTAGGATATGTTTTGGCTCTCATGTTCCAAAACATGACACAGCTAATTGTCTATGTGTTCAGAGAGAAGGAAAGGTCGCAGGAGTGATGAAGAAAGGCAATTAAGAGGCAATTAAGAGATTTTGAGATTCGTAGTACAAGTAGAGGTCAGATCGGGACATGATCTAGTAATAACTATTTAACAGACTCGATCGTACAAGAATGGACATGGCAAAGATGAATCTAACTCTGATACCACGTTAAGAGTTTCAAGTTTCTATAAATGGACTCTCAGTGTCCATTAATTTGTATAAATATACAAGTTTTTCTTATACAGGTGAATAACATATGACAAAAATTGATATAAATCATAGACACTTAAGCTACATCTAAAACAACATATGATATACCTTCCATTCCCATTCGAACTGATTAGTCAATTATATATACTTTCCTTAATACAAAAGACATTATCCAATGGTTGATTTAATAAGGTAACATGTCTCTAGCCTTGCTTGAAATCACTAGATTTGTTTTCTTTTGTTTTTCATCAGATCTGCTACTTGTCATTGTTGTTTTGCTTCCTTGCCATAAGAAGTCACACACTTTTATCATCAACATCATCATTAGAGCATTTTTTCAACTAATTGACACAAATCCTCATCTGTCATTTTGCTCTATGATGGGCCATACCTTTAGTGGGGGCACAAGTCCCCATATATTTTCTTATTATTTCAAATCATGTCTTTTTGGGTCCACTTTTTTTCCTTTTTGGCTTTCCAATTGAACTGATGCACACCTCAGGTGCTATACTCACTAGTGTTCCGTTAGTATAGTCACCCACCTATATCAAAAATTAAAATATCAAATATATAACTTGTCTATACTCACTAGTGTTCTATGTAACATTTAAGGGATAGTATACTATAAGACCATATATCTTTGTTTCAAGGACGTCACAATTGCTATTGCCATTAGATGTGAGATTTTTTTTTAACTTAGAGTCTAGTCAATGACCTATTCACCACCACCCCCTATTCACCACCACCCAATTTAAAATCCGACAGACAGGAACGATCGTGACCTTGTACTAAAAATAAATATTCTTTTCTTATACTTTTCCACCATTTACTTCCATTTCCTTTCCACTGGAACTTAGCTTTAAATGACAAAGTCATCGTTCCTTTTCTAGGTTAATGAAAATGGGAAACAAAGGAGATTATAGGGGTAGACCGGTAAAAGGAAAATTTTCTAACAGTTTATTATTAATGAAATTATTATTAACGATATTTGATAATAAATGTACCATCCAAACTGGGCATAGAAGTTCTGTACTTTTCAACTTTTGTAGGCCATCCATCCATACATAACGAAGAACAAATAAAAATGTGACTTTTTAATTTCTCACCTTTCTAATTTTTTTTCTTCAAACTTTCCGAAATTGTCTCCTACACTTTTCGCAGCTCTTAACAGTCTAATCTAAATGCTTATGTTTTGAAAATCACTTTCATTTTCTTAGATAAATCCGATGATGAAGTTGCCAAACAAAAAATCTCCTTAAAAATCTCTTCGTTTATCCTAGCATGAATAAAGGGTTTTGTTCTACACCACTTGGTGGTGTATACCCCTCAATATTTATGGAGATATAGATACTCTTGAATTGTAATACAAAATTTTTCAAGTAGGGGTATTTTTAGTGATTTAGAAGGATAGAATGGATATTTCTATAAAAAAATAGTGGCATTCTATTAGTAGTTAAAAACAATAAATGCATCTTATGGGTGGTGTTATTGTCTACTATTGTTAATAAATGTTTTTTTTTCTATCAGTAATTTCTACTTTACCTTGACTAATTACTTAAAGGGAAAAGTTTATATAAGGTTGCAACATTAAAATGTAGAACTACGGATGTACCTAAAAAATCCATCGGTAAATGTTATTTTAATGTTAAAAAACCTTCTAATGAATCATCTCGACATAGAGATGCATGACTATGAAAAAGAAAGGTTTTTGAGTCCTAGAAATGGTGCATCTTACAACACATTATCTAGACTGTCCATTTTCAAGATCATATGTTTATAGATCTATTTGATTTTAATCATTTTTGGAGTTTAAAATTTTATTAATAGATTTGAAGCTAGATTTTGAGATAATCTCAAGAATATTTTACATCAAAATTATATGCTATGATAAACTTTAAAGGTGCACCTTAAATGGATTGTTTAAGGTTGCAACCTTATGGAAACCGCACCCTTACTTAAAATACCTCTAGACAAAATGTTACTACACTATAGGATAAAGGTATCGAAGTGTCCAAAAATATTGGGGACTTTAAGGGTATACACCACCAAGTGGTGTAACCTAACAAAAACCATAAGTAAAAGATTATTAAGAATCAATACGATTTCAAAAATTAATTATTATATGGAAAGGGCTTTCTTTTACGGATTTGGCATGTTAAAATAGGAACTGTGGAAAAAATTAATTTCTATCGTAGTATTCGGCTCAATCTTATCAGATTCGCTTCACTTTCAACCAAGATCGAAACGAATTGAAGCTGTGGTGCATCCTCTTAGGCATGCTTCGGCTCGCTATGGATTTTGCTCTTTGACTGAAACATAGAATTGTCGTTTTTAATTATTGTTTATTCTGGAATATTTTATTTAAAAAATTTGTATTATTATATATCAGTACTTTATTTACATTACTTCAAAAAAAAAATTTGACGCCTTCTTTCTAATCGATCGAATTTGACGCCTTCCTTCGAATCGATCGAAGCACCGAATTGCTATGTTTTTTTGACCATACCAAAAAAAAGGCCCCAAAAGAGAATCTGACAGCATTTATTTGGCTCATTCGAAAAAGAAATACACAACAATAAATTAGAAAATGCTGGAGAAGAAATTTAAACTGCCATAACAAGTAATAATGAATGCATGAAAAGTTAAATCGAATAGGAAGTATCATCTTTTCAATTAAATTTTTTAGAAATTACCTTACAATCTAATCATTTATCAAGTTCATTGTGCAACACGTGCCACATACTAATGGTACAATATGTCAATAGTGCTTATAAAATCCGTAAAGACTTCCTCCTCAAAAAAACAGAAGAAAAGTGGTGCAGCCCTTGCTCCTAGAAAGGAGAGATCAGAGATAGAGTTCACAACAATACTTGATGATCGCACTAGTCCATCAATCAAGAATGAAACTTCCTCAATCACTATGAACGAAGGAAAAGAACTAAGGGGCCTTCTAGCCTAACCACACTTCTCCGAATAGGACAGCGACAATACCTTGTTGGGAAAATCACTTTTACACGGAGTAGGAGAAAAGAAAATTCATTTTATTAAGAAAAAAATTTATATAAAGTCGCAACATTAAAATGTAGGATTAATGTGCATCTCAAAAATCCATCATAAAAGGTTGTTCGGATGTTGGAAAACCCTTTAATTGATCATCTCGATATCGAGATGTATAAAATATGAAAATAAATAACATTTTGAGTCCTAAAAAATTGTATCTTGCGACACATAATATAGACAATCCATTTTCAAGATTTTCAAGTGTTTATAGATATAATTCATTTAAACTATTTTTGAAGTAAAATTTTTTAAAACTAGAGATGAAAATTGATTCCCATTTGGGATGCACCTTAATTTGATTTTTCAGGGTTACAACCATATACAAACCACATCCTTTAATTAATCATATAACATTGCTCAAGTTAGAGTTAAAAAGGAAATTTATATAGAGTTCAATATGTCTTGTAATGAGTAGTTATTATTGCAAATGGGTAAAGGCTGTTCTCAATCAATTGGATGAACTATTTAAAAAAATGTGCGATAAGGGTTCAATCAAGTAAGTGAATTGACTCAATTGCCTTTTAAGTAGGAGAGGAATATTCATATTACAATTTCCTATGCACTAAGTCCACATGCATTCACCCTTCAAGAAGCCAAGATCTCATATTCCAAGTTCCCATTACTGCAGCCAAATTCCCGTATATAAGAACTAGACGATATTGATTGTTTTACTCATGGAAACTCAAAACAACATTGTCTGCATGAGAAATTTGGCCTTCCTATATTATTCCAGACTTCAAACTATATTAATCCCTTAATAACAAATTACAAAAGGATAACTTTAACAATTAAAACAAGTCCAACACATCCATTCCTCAATTAAAAAAAAAAAAAAAAAAAGCAAAAGGAGAGTCCAACGAATTCTTAGATGCCATTTGCATCAATAAGACAATTTCTCACTGTTACCTTTTTGTGGAGGAGAAAAATAAAAGTTTAAAAAATGGGT